TTCAACCTTTAGAAACCTCCTAAGTAGCTTTTTCTCCCACATGGGTATCCAGCCCCTTGCAGCTCCCCAGAGCTGCTTCTGTTAGTTTTGTCAGCATACCCTGAATTATCTTCAGTAACCTAGCCTGTTCTTTTATAAGTCCCCATAATCATATTTATTCTGTCCTATCGACCTCTCCCTACCAGTGGCTTTGGCTAGGTATCTCTTATGTTAAAAACTGTCATGCAACTCTCATTTTACTTTGAGATATCATAACGCTTTTCCTTCTTTTCTGCTACTGGTAGTGGCTAAGAGCACAGATTCTGCAGCCAGACTCCCTGTGTTCAATCCCAGCTCCACCACTTACTAGCTAGTGACCTTGGGCAAGTGACTTAATCTCTATGCATCAGTTTCCTCACCTATTTAATGGGGATAACAATAGTATCTACCTCCAAAGGGTTGTTGTGAGAATTGGATGAATATGTGTAAAACCCATAGATCAGTACTGGATACCTACGTAGCACTTACTGCATAAGTGTTCGTTAGTGCTCTTATTCCTTGAAAACATAAACATAGTTAATTCCCAACATTTACATTTGATCATAGCTGTCTTGCAAGTCTCTTCAGAGTGCTTTGCCACACTCCCTTCCCATCTTTCACCCAGCTCCCTGCAAGTCACAGCCACCACTCCAGTGACTTTATTGCCTTTTCAGTAAAAGCAGTTTCAAAAATGTGCTAAATATGTCTATGGTAAGACTGATCAAATGCTATCCACAAAAAGTTTCAGGAAGTAGGTAAGGTTTGTGCTGCAGAGAACATCTCTGATTTGGAAAAGGTAAGGGGTAATTTACAGGAGATAAGCCCTCATTAGGGGAATGGGCCTTACCTGTAGCATAGAGATCTGCATTTTATAATATCGGTTGGAGGGATCAGGAGCTGAGATGATGAGGAGTCGCTGTTTCTCATAGAATTGATCCAGGAGACCAGCAGCTGAGTTGACATTGACGTTAATCTTCATAGCTAGGGCAGAAGCAGGTGACCAGTCAGAGTACGGCTTCTCCTCCATCCCAGCTTAGGTAACCTAACATCTTGAGGTGTTCCAGTCTTTCAGGTTACCTCTCTCTGGCTGTTTCTCCTGTCCCTTGGGGGAAATCCTAAAAGAACACTTGGAGATTTTAAACCCTTCTTCTTGGGGTAGGAGTAGTCTATGGGGGAATGTTAGTCTTTAAATTAGACACATCCCAGAACCCCCCATTCCCACATCATATACATTGTTACTGGACCCCTGTGCCATGAGGAAGATCCTCCAAAGTTCCCCAGATCACCACATCCACTTGCCCCTGTTTCACTCACGAGTACAGATTGGTGGTGAACCTGACCACTGGCGGCTGGATTGACAGACCCGGGAGGGTGTCCCCTGGCGATCATAACCGCCATCACAGTGGTATTCACAGGTGGCACCATAGTTGTCCCCTGCTGAGGTGCAGGTGAGGTAGCCGTGCTGCGGAGGTTTCAGAGTTGGGCAGCGTCTCACTGTCAGGGAGGAGCTCAAGTTAGAAGTTACGGTGTTCCTTATAAGAAAGAAAGGCTAAGAGGGTGCCCATGCTGGGCTTTCTAGACCAGAAGACTTAGGATGATCAGAAAAATGGCCTTTCTATATTTCCAGTGGCTGGAGATGGAGCTGGAATTTTCCTTTCTTAAGGAATTAAATCTGAAATGCAGACAAAGGTTTGTAAAGTCTGGAAACCCAGGTGAATATACATGTTGTCATCAAAAGACTGACAATCTTTAAAAGAAAATATTATCTGTTTCCAGACTTTATGGACATGCTGTGTAAAGATGACTACCTTGCAGAATTCCTCTTAATAGCAGAAATAAGTTGGAGGAATCTTAAATGTTCATTGGTAGGAGAAGGGTTTAGCAAATTATGATATATTCTTAGAGTAGAATATTATGCTGTCATTAAAAATATTTCTGAAGAATTTTAAAATAACATGAGACAATTACTTTGTTAATGAAAAGTGAAAAGGATGATTTATGATTGGATATACAGTATAATTGCAACTATATATTTTTTAAAGTATGTATAGAAAAAAGACTGGAAGGAAAATACCAAAAAGCTAATAGCAGTTGCCTCTGGATGATGGGGTAATACATTTTTCCCCTTTATATATTTCCTTATTTATCAAATGTTCAACAATAAGCATGAATTATCTTTATAATGAGAAAAGCAAAACAAAACAATACAACACAAAGCAAAGAGGAAGAATCAGGTAGCCAACACCACCAATTTTAGCAGAGGTGAATGATAGAATGAAGGCAGATTACATGTGATCATTTTGAAGTCTAAGAAGAGAAATGGATAAAGAATATCCTTGTGAATTTTATCTGGATTTAGGATAACGAGAGTCTTGTTGATGAGAGTCTTGTTGGAGAGTCAAGGTTTCAGAAACATGTGTATGCACATGTAATGTTGGCTTCCTAAATAAGCCTGTTTGGTGAACTTGTTTTTCTCCCTCCCCAGTATAAATGAGGTGTGTCTCTTCCAGGCATAGAGAGGAGAGACATGGGGTGGGTCAGGGTAGAGCAGGATTAATGAACAATATGGAAACTAAAGAATTCTTTCTGACCTTGTACTTTCACAATGAACTTGCAGCTGGCCCGGTTGTAGGCTCGGTCATAGGCAGTGTAACGAATCACGTGCTCCCCTTCAGGAAAGTGAGAGCCAGGCTCAGGGCCCCGAAGTGTCACCCTGCATGGGACAGGGTGAAAGAAACACTGAGGAAAGAAACCCTTAGAATTGAAGTCTGAGGCACATCCCCACCGTCACCTTAGCCTGTGCAGTTTCAGTGTGACCAGCCTGAATGACTGAGAGAAGCCGAGGGAAGGCATAAGCGGCATCCATTATTCAGGCTCACCTGGTGATGGTACCATCAGCAGAATCTTTCACCAATGGCGGGTCCCAGTATACTCGAGCAGTCAATTTCTCTGGCTCTGCCATCTTCTCACGTGAGTGGGGACAGCGGATCTTGGGGGGATCTATGTCTGCCAAGGTGAAAAATCAAGTGCTGACTCGTGGGCCCCCTGCTTTCCCTGGAGGGAATCCATTGAAGCAGTGCCACACACCACACACCACACGCTGGGTAGGTAAAAAGTTCAAGGTGCTCAAGGAAACTGGGGAAGGAAGCCCAACTCCAGGGGAGAAGATCATTTTGTTCAGCAAATACCCAGGGTGCTACCCTCGTAGCTAAGAGGAATGCCTTCTGTGGTGAGAATTCCACATCTCTTGTCGATATAATGCTGAGGTGGCTCTTTGCACCAGGACAACTGGGAGCAACCAGCATTTACCTACACATACAGGCTCGCCTCCACTCCATCTCCCATCTTCCATGCAGATTCGGCTGCGATCACCTTCCAGGTGGTAGCCACTGGAACAGCTATAGTCACAGCGAGAGTCAAGAAGCACTCCATTTGTGCAGGTGTAAGTGCCACTAGTGATGAATGGCAGTGCGTGGCATCTCATCTCTAAGAGAAAACCAAGTGGCAAGCTCAGTGGCTTGTGCAACTATGTGGAGGTGATGTCTGGGCATCTAGCACAGGGAGAAACGTATCAGAGAGAGCAGAAAATACAAAAACCCTACCTGAACTGCCCTTACATTTTTGTGCGTAACTGCCTTTTCCCCTAATTGTCTTTGTATTTTCGTAAAGTATAGCAGCACCCTTGGGCAGAGGGGTGTCAAAAAAGTAAATTACTTGTCCAACCATATAGACTTCAAAATCAGACCTAACATTGTACATTGCCAAAATCCATAGAATATGCAACAAGAGTGGGCCTTAATGTAAACTATGGAATTCAGGTGACAATGATATATTAATGTATGCTCATTCAACTGTAAAAAGTGTAACACTCTGGTGGGAGATGTTGACAACAGGGGAAGCTGTACATGTGTGGGTGCAGGGGATAAATGGGAAATATCTATATCTTTCATTCAATTTTGCTGTGAACTTAAAACTTCTCTAAACAAATAGAATCTATTTTAGAGGGGGAAGTAAAACAACTTATCAAGATTAAAAAAAATCAGACCTGAGTTTGCATCCCAGTTCCACTTCTTACTAGCTCTGTAACTTTAAGAAGTTGCCTCATCTCTTTGAGTCTCAGTGTTTTCTTCAGTGAAATGTGGATACCTCATAGGATTGTTGTATAAATTAAAAGAGACAATGCATATATCCTCTGGGCTCATTTAGGGCCTTAGCAACTGAGAATTTTTGTCTCTTATTCCTCAAATGCTAGATGCCCTTGAGCACGTTCAAAGCTGCTTTTCTCCTCCAGGCAATACTCATATAATTTTGGGGCTCCCTTAGGCACTGCTCAGCTGAGGCTCACTTACATGCCAACTTGGGCTGACTGGGCAAGAATACAAGTCAGAGCAGTGCCTGGAGGGCCAGGTGTGGTATTTGGTAAAAGAGGAATCCATGTGCCTTGGACACCACATGTGGCAGAGGTGGAGCCTGTCACCATGGATTAATTGTGAGCCTATGCTTGCTAAAGTCTTGTTGGAGATACCTGATACTTGAGAGACCATATATTCCTTTAGGTTGTCTAACTTCTAATCCTGACTAAGTTCAATTGTTGAAGCTTTGAATAAAGATCTGTATTAGCTATATTCATTCTGTTTCTTGGCAAACCAGACTTAAAGATTATTGCATTTTCTGTTTTCCAGTGTCCCTTTGTAAAGACCTATGCAAAAATGACCTTCTTGAAATCAGGGCGAAGACAAAAGATTTGTCTCTTCAGATGAATGTGTTTGCTTAGTATCATATGACAGGAAATATGATAGATCCAAAGCATTTGCCCTTTTGTCTCTTATGAGGAAAGTCAAAGCCAGATTCAATGCTCAAATGTAGTAATTGACTCATTGTAGGCACCTGGAAATATGTATGTCACCATTTTTTTTTTTTTTTTTTTTTTTTTTTTTAAGATGGGAGTCTCGCTCTGCCGCCCAGGCTGGAGTGCAGTGGCGCGATCTCGGCTGGCTGCAAGCTCCGCCTCCCGGGTTCACGCCATTCTCCTGCCTCAGCCTCCCGAGTAGCCGGGACCACAGGCGCCTGCCACTACGCCCGGCCAATTTTTTTGTATTTTTAGTAGAGACAGGGTTTCACTGTGTTAGCCAGGATGGTCTCGATCTCCTGACCTCGTGATCCGCCCACCTCGGCCTCCCAAAGTGCTGGGACTACAGGCGTGAGCCACCGCGCCCGGCCACCATTCTTTTAATTGATTTTATGTTCACTTGTACTTTACAGCTCTGTATTTTTCAATTGTATCAGACCGATTCAAATTCCTGTTGAAAATGATGGGATCTAAGTCCTGAAACAATTTAATTCCAGTCACCGAGAGGGGTGTGGTGACTGCCTGCTTTCTGGCTATCAAACTTCTCTTCTCCTCTACAGCATCTTCTCTGACTAGCCCCATTTCTATATGAATGCTCAGCACTTCTGCATCCAGTTACATGACATTCATGTGCACACATTTGTGTTTCTATCCCATTCATCTATAAGCAGCCTGGGAGTATTTGAAGAATTGAGTAATACAGGAAGTGACCAATACAGGGCTGTGCATACATGGGTGTCCTACAAATGGTGTTCTGCCATGACATATGGACAGGAAAAGCTCAGCTGCTGAAAGGCTGTGGAACTTGAGTAAGAGGTAGAGATTTGGAAGCTGAAGGGGGAAATGATTTGGAATGTGTATATATCAGCATTTTCACATTCTAGACTTAGGGATTTTTCTTCTGACTTTCAGAAGAAAATGAAGAATAGCAGATGTTTCATAGCTTCACTGCCAAGGTCTTCTAAGGCTATAGGCCAGGAAGTACAGCAGTTGACCACAAGTGGAAAAGAGTCTAAGACCACACGTCCTTAGGAGCTCCAGAAGAAGATCTAGGTCCACATCAGACCTCAGGCCCAAGCCTTCGCTCTGGCTGTGCACTCCTGGGCTCCCCGAGTCAGAAGAGATGGTTGCTCCTTAAATGCTCATATTGCTTGGACAGTAACCCGAGAAACTGAACTCGAATGTTAGGATGGGGAAAGGCCCTGCTGGGGGGCTTGTGGAATATTCTCAATTTGCACTTGAGAGAAGGGCATATTAGTAACACCTCCAGGCATATACCCTCAGCAGCTGGCTGGCTGGCTTCTCTCGAATACATGCATCAGCATATGCACACACACAACTTACGCCTGCAGTAGGCAGTTCCAGACCAGCGACGGCTTGGCAGGCATTGCACCGACCTTCTTCCAATCAGTCGAAAGCCCCGGTCACAGGAGAGCTCACAACGTGTGCCCAGGCTGCTGTGATAATTTCCTCCCCTCGGTGAGTAGCATGTGGCTTCTCCATCCTGGATATTTAATGTATAACACCATCGGGGGACTGTAGCAATAGAAGAAAGACAAGCTAGAAGTACAGTAATCAAGACAGTGTGGTGTTGGTGAAAAGACAGACAAATAGGTCAATGAAAAAAAATAGCCCAGAAGTAAACCCACATAGGTGTGTTGAAATTATTTTTGACAAAAGTGCAAAAACAATTCAGTGGAAGAAAGCCTTCAGACAAATGGTGCTGGAGCACTTGTACTTCCATATGCAAAAAAAACCCCACCTCAACCTAAGTCTCACACCTTATACAAAAATTAACTCAAACGGGATCATGGACTTGAAAAAACAGGAGAAAGTCACCGGGATTTAGGGCTAAGCAAAGTGGTCTTAGGTATGATACCAACAGCACAAATAATAAAAGAAAAATTAAATTTTTTTTTTTTTTTTTTTTTTTTTTTTTTGAGACGGAGTCTCGCTCTCTGGAGTGCAGTGGTGCAATCTCGGCTCACTGCAAACTCCACCTCCCGCGTTCACCCCATTCTCCTGCGTCAGCCTCCCGAGCATCTGTGACTATAGGCGCCCGCCACTATGCCCGGCTAATTTTTTGTATTTTAGTAGAGATGGGGTTCACCGTGTTAGCCAGGATGGTCTCGATCTCCTGACCTCGTGATCTGCCCGCCTCGGCCTCCCAAAGTGCTGGGATTACAGGCGTGAGCCACTGTGCCCGGCCAGAAAAATTAGATTTTAATAAATTAATGAATTAATAAATTGGACCTTGTCAAAATTAAAAATTGCTCTGCGAAAAGACAAAGCCATAAAAAGGGACTAGTATTTAAAATATAGAAAGAACTCTCAAAACATTGAAAAAGCAAACAGTCCAGTTAGAATATGGACAAAAGATATAAACACACATGGCACTGAAGAGGATATACCGATGGCAAATAAGCACATAAAAAGATGTTCAGTATCATTAATCATTTGGGAAATGCAAATTAAAATCATAATGAAATACCACCTATATATCCATCAGGGAGGGTATCCTTTAAAAAAAAAACGGGTAATACCAAGTGTTTGTGAAGATGGAGAGAAACTGGAATTCTCATACATGTCTGGTGGAAATGCAGAAATACAGCCACTTTGGAAAATATTTTGGCTATTTCTTATAAAGGTAACACGATACCTTCTTATAAAGAAAGGTACACTTACCATATGACTCTGTAATACCACTTAAAGGTATTTATGCCAGTGAAATAAAAACCTGTGTCCACACAAAATCCTGTACATGAGAGTTAAAAGTAGCTCTATTCATAATTGCCAAAAGCTGGAAACAACTCAAATCTCAATTTTTTTTTTTTTTTTCAAGACAGAGTCTCCCTCTGTCGCCTGCAGTGGTGCAATCTCGGCTCACGGCAACCTCCGCCTCCCGGGTTCAAGCTTGATTCTCCTGCCTCAGCCTCCCCAGTAGCTGGGACTACAGGCGTGCGCCACCACGCCCAGCTAATTTTTGTATTTAATTTTTGTATTTTTAGTAGAGATGGGGATTCACCTTGTTGGCTAGAATGGTCTCGATCTCTTGACTTCTTAATCTGCTCGCCTTGGCCTCCCAAAGTGCTGGGATCACAGGCATGAGCCACCGCACCCGGCCTCAAATGTCTTTCTACGGGTGAATGGCTGAACTAACTGGTGTATTCATACAAAAGAATGAAGTGCTGATACATGATGCAACAACATCAATCAATCTCAAATGTATTTTGGGAAGTGAAAGAAGCCAGACTCAAAAAACTACATACTGTAGAATTCCATTTATATAACAAAAATATAGGGACATAGGCAAAAATACAGTGACAGAGTACAGATCAGTGTTTGCCAGAGATTAGGGGTAGAGGTAGGGAATAACATCAGAGGGGAAGCGCTGGGCAAGAGTTTGAAGTGATGGAACTGTCTCATACTGTGGTGGGAGTTATGTGACCCTATGCATTTGTCAAAACTCACAGAACTGTACACCAAAAAGAGTGAGTTTTTCTGTGTGTATGTTTAACATAAAAATTTAAAGGATAATACAAAAATGTAAACTAGAGAGAGGAAGGGAATGTGACATCAAAGAAGGCTTCTTTGGAATGAAAGTCTAATCCCAGTTCAGTACTGAGCACAAAAGGTTATAGGGCTGTTAAATCATAAAGGCATCATAAAGATGCCTCACAGGCTATACAAAATAACTGACTCTTTAGTGGGTTCAGAGTTTAAAGGGGCATATAAAAACAAGCAGAGAGCCACCTGCCCAAGGATGCACACACACAGCATGGCATGGGTCTGTTAGCCTAGGGTTGGGAAGGCTAAAGCCCCATATGAGTTGATTCAGTTCCCACATCCTAAGGGACATTCAGTTCCCACATCCTAAGGGACAAAAAAAAGGGGGGAGCTTTGAAAAAAAAAGTAGATGAGACACCAAAGGAACAAAGAAAAGCTAGAGCCTCTTTCTGAGTGCAACTGGAGAATGAAGACAGATGACAGTGAGAAATCTTTTCTTCAGTAAACACTACTCTTGGGGCTACCAGCATTACTTTTGAGCCTGTGGCAGTGACACATGGCTGCCATCTGGAGACACCATCTCCAAATTACAGAAAGTCTTTTAAGCACTACAGTTGCAGAGCTGTTGATTATAAGGCCACAACACATATCACAAAGATCTTACTTGGCAGGCTGGGACCTCAACAATCGCTCCCATTCTATATCTCTCCCACAGTCTGTCAAGGAAAATACACATCAGATTGGAATGGGTAGAATAAGTAAGAACGGTAAAGGGAAATATAAAGGTCAGGCTAAATGCTGAGACAGTAGAAGAGGCCCCAACTATTGTAAATAAGTTCAAATTTTCTGACCCAGAAAAAATCCTGGCATAAAGACAAAAACGTTGAAAGGCTGGAGAGGAGCAAACACAATCTCAGTTTTCAAATAAGGAAGAAGTCTCTGGGAGCTATAGCCTAGTGACACTGACAGCACTGATAGCATAGTGTTCTAGAATATTTAAACGTAAGGCGTATGCGTTACACAGAGAAGTAGTGATCTCCAGGAACCCTCTGGAACAAGTAATTCCAGATTGACCTAATTTCCTGTTTGGGCAGGGTCACCAGACTGGTAGAGCAGGGGAAATAGTGGATACACTATGTGGAAGTAAGTGAGGCATGTGACAATGCTTTTCATGTCATTGATGTGGATGAGATGAAATACAGGAGAGGTGACAATACGGTTAAAATTTCATAAGTGGCTGAGCAACTGTACCCAAAGAATGCCCATGGGAAGCTGATCGAGGATGTGGTTAAAAGAAATCAAGAAGGCAATTCCATTTACAATAGCTACAAAGAAATCTAGAAATAAACTTAATCAAAGAAGTGAAAACCTATACACTGAAAATTATAAAACATTGATGAAAGAAATTAAAGAGGACACAAAAAATAGATATCCCGTGTTCATGGATCAGAAGAATTAATATTGTTAAAATGACCATATTGCTCAAAGCAATTTACAGATTCAATGCAATTTCTATCAAAATACCAACATCATTTTTCACAGAAATAGAAAAAGCAATCCTAAAATTCATATGGAACTAAAAAAGAGCCAGAATAGCCAAAGCAATCTTGAGCAAAAAAAAAAAAAAAAGCTAGAGGCATCACATTACCTGACGTCAAAATATATTGTAAGGCTATAGTAACCAAAACAACACGGTATTGGTATAAAAATAGATATATAGATCAATGGAACAGAATAGGAAACCCAGAAATAAATTCATTTATTTATAGCCAACTGATCTTTGACAAGGCCATCAAGAACATACACTGGGGAAAGGACATTCTCTTCAATAAATGCTGCTTAGAAAACTAGATAACCTTTTACAGAATAATGAAATTGGACCCCCATCTCTCATATCCAAAAATTTACTCAAGATGGAGTAAAAACTTAAATGTAAGACCCAGAAGTACAAAATTACTAGAAGAAAACATAGGGAAAACTCCTCAGGATATTGGTCTAGGCAACAATTTTATGGTTAAGACCTCAAAAGCACAGGAAACAGAAACAAAAATAGACCAAGAGGACTATATTAAACTAAAAGGCTCCTGCACAGCAAAACAACAACAACAAACAACCGAGTGAAGAGACAACCTCTTGAATGGGAGAAAATATTTGCAAACTACTTATCCATCAGGGGACTAATAATGTCCAGTATATACAAGGAACTCGAACAACTCAACAGTAGAAAAACAAATAATTCCACTAAAAAAATTGGGCAAATGACACGAGTAGATATTTCTCAAAAGAGGACACACAAATGGCCAACAGATATATGAAAAAATGCTCAACATCACTAATCATCAGGGAGATGCAAATCAAAAGCACACAATGAGATATCATCTCAACCCAGTTAAAATGGCTATTATTAAAAAGTCCAGGTGCAGTGGCTCATGCCTGTAATCCCAGGACTCTGGGAGGCCTATGCAGGTGGATCACTTGAGGTCAGGAGTTTGAGACCAGCCTGGCCAACATGGTGAAATCCCGTCTCTACTAAAAATAAAAAAATTAGCCGGGCATGGTGGTGGGCGCATGTAATCCCAGCAACTCGGGAGGCTGCGGCAGAAGAATTGCTTGAACCCAGGAGGTGGAGGTTGCAGTGAGCCAAGATCATGCCATTGCACTCCATCCTGGGGGACTGAGTGAGACTCTGTCTTTAAAAAAAAAAAAAAGACATAAATAACAGATGCTGGCCAGGATGCAGAGAAAAGGGAACCACACATTGTTTTTGAGAATGTAAATTAATATAATCACTAAGGAAAAGAGTATGGAAATTTCTTAAAAAATCAAAACTAGCTGGGCGTGGTGGCTCACACCTGTAATCCCAGCACTTTGGGAGACCAAGGCAGGTGGATCACCTGAGGTCAGGAGTTCGAGACCAGCCTGGCCAACATGGTGAAACTGTTTCTACTAAAAATACAGAAATTAGCTGGGCGTGGTGGCAGGTGCCTGTAATCCCAGCTACTGGGGAGGCTGAGGCAGGAGAATCGCTT